AACAACAACACTGCTGTGGGTCTGGAATCCGTGTCAAGGCGGAAGTTTCCTTACCTGAAAGGACATTTGTGAATGAGATTGGTTTTTCTGACAATGAACAATGGTTTCATGGTCATCATTTGACTCAGAGTTCAATAAAAATCTGGAATTAAAAATTCCATCATCTGCCATGGCAGGATTTGATCCCAGGTGCCCAGAATATTACCAGGGTCTCTGGATTAACAGTCCACCACGAGGCAGTCACCTCCCTCTTCTTGATTCCCCAGAAGCCTGATACCAAGAGGAACTTGGAAATGTTAAAAGGGACCCCATTCAGTCTCTCAGTTCAAGGGCAGATAGGGGCTAGGTTACAAACTCCATCCTTTGCAAGTGACTCTTCATTCTTTATTCACTCAGGGGATGAGGGCGTTGCTGGCTAGGTAGCATTTATTGCCCATCGGGCAGTTCAGAGTCAACCACCTTGCTATGGGTCAGGAGTCACATGTAGGCCAGACCAGGTAAGGATGGCAGTTTCCTTCCCTAAAGGACATTAGTGAACCAGATGGGTGTTTCCCAACAATTGACAATGGATTCATGGTCATCATTAGATTATTAATTCCAGATATTTACTGAAATCAAATTCTATCATCTGCCATTGCAGGATTCGAACCTAGGTCCCTAGAACATTGTCCGGGTCTCTGGACTAACAGTCCAGCGATAATACCGCTAGGCCATCACCTCCCCTCCCAGAAGTTTCCTTACCTAAAAAGGTACACATGTGACATCCCCTCCCGCACTATGAAAAAGAAAACATCTTTAAACCAAGTTCCACAGCTTTCAGGTTGGTGTGAACTCCTGAATAAATGGTTGTTTTTTGACACACCTCAGTGGGGAATCATAGAATTGACATGGCAGAGGGGATTGCTACTCAGTCTACATGTGGGTGCCCTTGACAACTGGTCACCAATATTAGTGCAGCTTTTTAATTAATTTTACAAACCAAATATAAATTCCACAACACCTGTGGTAGGATTCAAATGCACACGCCCTTGATCCATCAGTCTAGGGTCCTCAATTGCAAACCCAGCACGATAACCACTGTGCCCACAAGCTTGCTTTTGGAAAGCTCCAAAGTACGCTGGCCCAGATTGGTAAAGGACAGTACACTGACCCCCCAGTTCCCTTTCCCTAATATAGGGTACATTCTTCATTCAATCATTGTCGCCTTGGGCTGTAACTCAGCCAACGCTCTGTCCACAGCAGCTAGGAATCATAGAATCCTTGCAGTGTAGAAGCAGACATTCAGTCCAGCTAGTCCACACCGACCCTCTGAACAGCATCCCATCCAGATCCACCCCATCCCTGTTACTCTGCATTTACCAACGCTAATCCACCTAGCCTGCACATCTCTGGACTGTGCAGGAAACCAGAGCACCCAGAGGAAAACCACACAGACACAAGGAGAACATGCAAACTCCACACAGACAGACAGTCATAGAGTCATACAGCACAAAAACAGACCCTCCGGTTCAACCAGTCCACGCTGAACATAATTCCCAACTAAACTGGTCCCACCTGCCTACTGCCGACCCATATCCCTCCAAACTTTTCCTATTCACGTACTTACCCAAATGCCTTTTAAACATTGCAATTGTACCCACATCCACCACTTCCTCAGAAAGTTCATTCCACACACGAACCACCCTGTGTGGAAAAAAATTTGCTCCTCATTTTTTTTTAAAGAAAGCTCTCTCCTCTTACCTTTAAAAAATGTGCCCCTGGGTTTTGAAATCCCTTGTCATAGGGAAAAGGCAACAACCAATAACTCTATCAATACCTCTTATTTTATAACCTTCTTTCTATAAGGCCACCTCTTAAGCTCCAAATGAAGTAGTCCAGGCCTATCCAGCCTTTCTTTATAACTCAAACCTTCCACACCTGGCAACACTGTAGTAAATCGCTTCTGAACCCTTTCCAACCAAATAATATCCTTCCTATAATCGGGCAACCAGACCCGGACACGGCATTCCAGAAGAGTGCCAAAGGCTGGAATCAAACTTGCGTCCCTGAGACTGTTAGCAACAGTGCTAACCACTGAGCCACCATGCCACTCCAAAGTATCTACATTCTCTGGAAGCCCACTTCAGATAACACTGACATTTTGGCCTTGCCTGATCTGCAGAATGACCAGCTGGAAGAACAGATCGTCCAGTTCTCTCAGGAGTTGAGGTCATTTACCACGTGGAAGAACAGGGTGATGTGTGTGAGCGCTGCTGCACTCCAAGTCAGACCCTACAACACTCGGCAGACCTGCCCTGCCACCCTATCAGATTACGACTGATCAGATTGCTGTTTCAACTCCACATTCCCACCGCCTCCAATAACTGCCTTGTACTTTCGTCTTGCATTGGTGTCCTTTGAGCGCATTGTAAAGGGAAGGTAAAGTCCATAGTCCCTGGGGACCTTAGGCTCGTCCTCTCATTTGAGCAATGGTGGTTCAACTGAAGTGTCACCAAGCCTGAAGCGAGGGGAGACTTTGAGAAGGACAGACGGTCATGGTAACCTCAGCTGGTGCAGGAATTGAACCAGTGCTCTCCGCGATGCAAGCCAGCCATCCAGTAACCCAAGCTAACAGAGTCCCTTGGACATGTTGTGGATGGTCGAAGTACAGGTCAAGTGCAATGCTGTACTGAAACTGGCAGGTACTGCCTGCAGGTGGCAGAGCCAAAGCAGCACGCATTGCTTGCCTCATCACAGTCCAGCCAAAGCAGTACTTGACTCAGGGGCTACCACACAGACAGGGTGGATATCCAGCTTTGCGACGTCGTGAGGGTTATTCCTGGACCACTGAGATCACCAGGTGGGGCAGCACAGTGACCCAATGGTTAGCAGTGCTGCCTTACAGTGCCAAGGACCTGGGTTCAATTCCAGCCTTGAGCAACTGTCTGTGTGGAGTTTGCACATTCTCCCAGTGTCTGCCTGGGTGCTCCAGTTTCCTCACACAGTCCAAAGATGTGCAGGCTGGGTGGACTGGCCATGCTAAATTGCCCATAGTGTCTAGGGATGCTGTTCAGAGGGTTGGTGTGGACTCAAATGGGCCTAATGGCCGGCTTCTACGATTCACCACAGGCAGGAGTGGTGTCCCATGCTACCACGCACTAAGCATCCTAATATCCACAGGTTAAACAGCATCCACAATGAACACTGCTGGTTGGCACCCAACGTAGCAGTGCCATTGGTACAGGACATCAAGAGGAAAAAAAATCCAATGTATTGTCTCAAATTGCATACACCCCACCCGACTGAAACGCACATACATCCTGTAAACTCTCACCGGTTCTCAATGCCACACTCTTTGGTAAGCAGCAAATATCACTGACTCCGATCTGTCAAACATCGGAGTGTCCAGTTAATGCACTGGACCTGTTTAGTAGGTCAGCGGGAGCAGCAGTGGCTGGCGAAGACCCAGGTTTCAGCCTCGCACAGAAAAACCATGGATTGCGGGAAGTGGGCGAAGGAAGGTGTGGCAATAGTGTCCCATCTACAGCTGCAGCAACATGCAAGGCTTCTCAACAGCACCTTCCAAACCTGCCAACTCCATCAATGAGAAGGTGGAGGGTGGCAGATACATGGAAACACCACTACCTGCAAGCTCCCCTCGGAGCCATATGCAGCTCCTGACTTTGAACGACAATCAGTCATTCCTTCACAGGTCCTCAAATTCCTTTCCTGGCAGCACTGTGGGTATCCCTACATCACAAGGACTGCAGTGATTCCAAGAAGGTGGCTCACCACCATTTCAAGGCCCGACCCTAGGTAGGGGCAATAAAAGCTGGCCGCCAGTGATGCCCACATCCCATGAATGAAGAAATTTAAAGAGGTCCTCAGTACTAAAAAGTGTTATTGTATTCACATTCCCAGCATCTATCCGTTTCACTCATTGCATAGAGAAAATGCTCTCAAATATTAGATAAACATAGCAGGGAGGAGAGAATGGAAGGCAACAAAGTTAATAAGGCAGTAAGAAGGCACAAGACACTTGGTCATTAGTGCTCAGGGGATGGCATGTGCAAACAAGGAAATCTTATCAAACTGCAAACAAAGGGAAAAGGCGGTCCATTCTGCCCCAACCTGCTTCTCATTTAATAAGATCATGGCTGATCCAACTGTGACTTCAATCCACATTCCTGTCTACCCTTGATAACCTTCGACTCCCTCATTATTCAAAATGCTGTCTTCCTCAACCTTAGAAATAGTCAATGACCCCACCTTCCGAGGAACAAAAAGTCAAACAAGACTCTAACACAACACGTTCCTCATCTCGGTCTTAAATGGGAAAGACCTCATTTTTAAACGCTGTGTCTCTCATACAAGAGAGAGCATCCTTTCAGCACCCACCCTGCCAAATCCCCTCAGGATCTTCTCAGTTCGGCATAAAAACTGTTTGAAAGATTAGCTGAGCCTGACTGAACAAGTGTGCTTCTAAATTTTATTCACCACAATTGAGGAAGGACATCACAGAGTTGGCCTGGCTGCAGACGAGATTTACCAGGGACTTTGGGAAGGTAGCAGATGATCAGAATCTTATCCTTTGGGGTTGACAGGAGACCAAAGGGAGGTGTCCAAAATTATAAAAGGGGCTTTAATCAATCAAGGAGAGGCAACCGTTGCCTCTAGTCAGGAGGTTATTAATTAATCAGTTACAGATTTTGAGCAGCTGGCAAAAGAACTAGGGGCAAAATGAGTAGAATCATTTTTCTTCACTAAGTACTTGCTGAAAAATACTGGCAGCAAACTCCAAGAGTAACTTTCAAGACAGCAACTGTACAAGTATGTGCAATATGTTTTAGGGAGAAAGCTGAGCTGCAGGACTACATTAGATAGCCATTAAAGAACTAGCAGAAACAAAATGGGTCCAACGTTTCCTGCAGATTGGTTAATGTTTCCCTTCCTCGATTGTAACTGCATGTCAATTAAACCTGAAACCGTGACTCAGAAATCACTAATTAGATCATGCTCACCTTTTCCACAGATCAAAGTTTTCAGATCATGGTAATGTACTGAGGGTTTCCAAACAGCCACAGAGAAGCAGCGCCTGAGAAATAGGTGTGGCAAATAACACTCTCCTCTTCAAACTGGAAAGGGGAGTAAAGAAAGAGAAATGACAGATTAGCTGTCAGAAAACAGAGCACCTATAGTCTCTGGAGCCTAAAGTGAGATCCCTGCAATCTTCCTTTGTCCAAGGCAGTATTATTCACACAGCCATTGGGCAATGTGGTATGCACTGCCTGGGGCCTAAAGCTGTGGAATTCCCTTCCTAAAGCTCTCCGCCCCTCTGTCTCCCCTCCTCAAAAGATGTTCCTATCATGGACCGAGATTTTGGCCACTGCTCCTAATATTTCCTCTACCTTTCATCAACAACAAAAAAACCTTGGGACGCTTCACTAAATTAGAAGAATGACAGTAATGCTTTGGTTGAGGTGGGACAAGTACCCCTATCCCACCAAGCTTTAAATGGGCAGGGCTGGTTAATGGGGACATGATCTGCTGAAATGGCAACCCTGTTAATGGGAGGTTTGTTAAAAAAAAAATACATCACAGAGATACCAAGGCGTAGTGCTGGATGAACACAGCAGGCCAAGCAGCATCAGAGGAGCAGGAAGGCTGACATTTTGGGCCTAGACCCTTCTTCAGACCTTCTTCATTTTCTGTTAGTAAATTTGCGGATGACACCAGGGTTAGTAAATTTGCGGATGACACCAAAGTCGGTGGAGTTGTGGATAGTGCGGAAGGATGTTGCAGGTTACAGAGGGACATAGATAAGCTGCAGAGCTGGGCTGAGAGGTGGCAAATGGAGTTTAATGCGGAAAAGTGTGAGGTGATTCACTTTGGAAGGAGTAACAGGAATACAGAGCACTGGGCTAATGGTAAGATTCTTGGTAGTGTGGATGAGCAGAAAGATCTCGGTGTCCATGTGCATAGATCACTGAAAGTTGCCACCCA